TCCAAAGTAACCAAAGAATTCATTAAAATAACTAAAGAAGGTAAATATGTCTATATAAACTCCAACAAACAATTAATACAAGAAGCTAAAAATAGTTAACACGATATAATTCATACAGGTATAAGTAGATGTATTTTAGCAATTCAGCAAAAGAATTATGCTTACCTCAAATTGAGCCTTAAAACTTGGTTCATCAAAGCATGGAAAAACTCGCCTTGCATCAGTGGGCTGTAGTTGACTTGTCGCGAGATATCTATATAAATATTTACATATTGATTCATTCACTGAAGAAGGTTTTTATAAGATTTTGAAAATAAGTTGCAGTATGAACTCAAATATCTTTTAAAATGTCAAGTTTATGTAACGCTTAAACACACATAATATAGGATTAAGTTATAATCAGTCACTTACTCTGTCTTATTTCCTTCAATATAGTGACTCAAATACCACCCTTTATAAAGATTTGAATAGAATTTAGCAGAGAAATGCTTAAAGATAACTATATAGAATTGTCCGGCCTTGAGATCTCTAGTAAGATCAATTTTTTGCCATTCGCGTTCTCTGACATAGATCATGTTTTTCAAGAGATTTTCTTTTTTATTATCATTTTCTGCAAAAATCTATAAGGATATACTTTATATTAATAAAAATATATATTAAGAATATGCATAAATAGAAAATATAGCAATATAATCAAATTTTAAAAGCAAAAAAATGAATACATTAAAAATCTATGCATTTATCAAGTCAACTATTATTTTTAAAAAGGTTAAATAATACCATTATTTGATCTTTCCATAATGAAAGATTGAAAATAGAATGTATTATCAAAATATTGGTGTTTTCTTTGCATTCAATTCGGATTGTAACTGAACCATTGAAAAAGAATTGCGAATGATTTGTGCCATGGATATGGGCTTGCAATGTAAGCTGATATAAATGTGGGATCAACTTCTTCGGTAGTCTTAGTTCGGATTTGAGTTGAGGCACCCTTATAGCAGACGATGAACTCTTGTTTGCTTCTCGCATTGGACAGAACTCTGTTCTGAACGAATAAACTAAATTAAAAAATTAATAATATTTATTTGCTAATTAGTACAAATTTCCAAATGTTCAATTCATCCTAATTATGTACTTTAATTTAAAAGAGAACAGAGAGACTTACAAGATCTCCGTGGAGTTTCATGTTGGGCACAAAGAACATCAGTTTTTAGATTATTATCTGAAATTTGGATAGAATGGAATATGGATTAATTTCTATTTGTATAGCATATAATTCTTAATTTTACTTACTATGCAATAATAGTCTGTAATAATGGCAATTGATAGTAATTTTAATGAAAACTATTCTGATTTAATTTAATCTTAAAAGTAATGCAAATTAAGGTTCAGAAGCCCTATGTATAGTTAAATGATATTTATGTCTAATTTTGAGCAGAACTTTCTGAATCACTAATTAAATTTAAGCAGTAAACGAAGCTCCAAATAACTTTTGACTATTTGATCATTACAGCAAAGTGAATCAATCTGTTATAAATTTCAATTTATATTACATACTAGCTTATATTTAAGAATATATCATACAGGATCTGGTTATGCGAGATATATTTTAATAAATAAGCACCCATATATGCCTTTGTCAAATAAATAACTTTGAAAAAACTAAACAAGATCGTTTATTTATCAACAGTGTATCAAGGCCCATTAACCTTTAAGATAAAACTTTAAAGAATACAAAAATAGAGTTCATAAACTTTCAGGTTAGAAAGATTTGATAGTCTTAAAATTGGATCATGGGTTTTTTATTCAAGGATCAAGCTTTGTAAGAATATCTGCATTTAAAAACTTAAGGATAAGGACATATTTTCCTATAAAAAGGAGTCTAAGCAAGTATGAAAAATCATTATTTCTGGTCTTTTTTCCCTCTAGAAGTAAATTGATGGATAGCACATTAATTCATGGATACCTCTTTTCCTTTCCTTCAGAGTTATCTTTAGTTTTAGCATTTATTGGGTTAACATTCTTTATTTAATTAGTTCAGCATCAAGCACTATTTAATAATTATTTTAAATATACACAATTAAGCCAGTAAGAATAGACAATTTGGGTGACGATAGCATTTTTTTTATTTTAAGCATTAAATTGCTTATTTCAAAACTTAACTTTTATATATATAAGCCAAGAACAATGAAATCGTGAGATAAAAAATGGCTGAGGTGATGCATGACTCCGAGTCATTTAATGATTAAATGAATTTCTCCTATATTTTTGAATTAAATAAAGGTTTATTCAGAAAAGATTTAATTTCATTGAAAGGTAGCTGTATTGACCTATTTCAGAGAAACACACCAGTTTGTATAGGGTTGCATATAGAGTTATGTTCATCCTATTTCGTTTGAGGTGATAATCGACTAGTAGTTGAATTTTCCCACAATGATATGAGTAGAGCTGCCATTTCCAGTGAAATTCACATTGCCTTGCTTTCCCAAAATGTGCTCTCATCCAGAATGGACTGTTGTTTCGACCTCGCCTAGATCATATCAACAACTCAAGCGGGAGTTTAACCATGATAATGCAGCGTATAATCTCGACGCGTTGCCCACTACATTACCGCAGTCTACCCTGAATGATAACACTTTTGAGGAAAGCGAGACTATGAGAAATTTACTGGAAGCATCAGCCTTATTCATATCATTGGGGAAAAATTCAACTACCAGCCCTTTATCACTTTAAAGGAAATGGGGTGAACACAACTCATATAACTGATTTGCTGGGAGTCTCTAAAATCTACTCACTAGCATATAGATAGTTAAAACGAATACATTGTTTTTTTACAAATTCGACTATAGTGTTATAATTTTTAGCATTATATAAGTGAGTGTAATGCCACTTACTAATTTCACTTTCCCAAAGTGACTTTCACATGCAGTATTTTAATTTTAAAAATTTGATGGATCATTAATCTTCATATAATTAAGGCATTTTAAAACCGACACCTAACCTCGAAAAAATCCGTATTTAGTTGCGGTAATATATATATTTACTTAATTCATATGCATGTTTAGTTTTAATTAAAATAGCAAATTAAAGTGGATGGCGGAACTTAGGCCTTATTTGTATAAAAATGTAAATTCTCCCATCTATATCTGCAAAATTATTTTAAAGTGTATATCATAGCAACGTCACATTGAGTAAACTTTGTTCTTCGCCTGCTCTTAAAGCTGATAGTAAGTCAATAATAATAATTTAAAGGGTAAGTGATATTCTCTGATAGCAGAATGTTCCATGTTAAAATCGTAGAAGAATATTTATAAAAAGTAAGTATGAAATTTATAGAAATGTTTCATTGGAGTATTCACAGCATAACTCTTTAGATTAAATA